GTTCACAGCAGGTGTACCATCATACACAATAACCCGATCCGCCAAATACGTTGCCATAATAAAATCATGCTCTACGATAAAGGCTGTACGTTTTGTGTGCATGATGAACCTCTTGATAACACGGGCTGCTATAATACGCTGATCCGAATCCAGATAGGCACTTGGCTCGTCAATCAAATATATATTTGCCGGCGTTCCCAAAGCAATACACAAACCAACCCTTTGAAGCTGACCTCCAGAGAGGTTTTGTACCTCCTGATCCAAAAGTTCTTCAATAGTCAAGGGCTTCAGTACATCTGTCTGGAATTGAGGATGACTGAAGGCATCGTAAATCTTCGTCTGAAGAAGATCCTTCACGGTTCCTTGAAACTTGGGAGCAATCTTTTGGGGCTTATAACTGATTGAAAGTTGTGGCACCTCTGCACCGTTATCTGGTTTTTGATGACCAGCCAACATGCGAATAAATGTGGTTTTACCACAGCCATTCTCTCCAAGTAACACAATAATCTCGGAATCAGAGAAATTTCCGGGTTCTACGGTCAAGTTAAAAGATCCCAATTTTTTGGTCATGTAAGGATAACTGTTCTGAGCGGTGCGTTTAGTGACCTCGTCAAAATCATCAACAATACGAAAGGTGAGACCCTCTTCGCGAAAGCGTAAATTTTCCGTTGGAACAAATCCATCCAAAAAAACGTTGATGCCTTCCCGAACACCGTAGGGCATTGTCACAACGCCATAAATGCCAGGAACGCCATATAGCACACATACAAAATCAGACATATAATCCAAGGCAGAGAGATCATGTTCCACAACTATCACATAGTTATCTTCCTTTAATAAGGATCTTATCACTTGAGCAGCAGTCAGTCGCTGACGTACATCCAAATAACTAGAAGGTTCATCAAACATGTAAACCGCAGCATTTTGAACACATAAAGCAGCAATTGTAAAACGCTGTAGCTCTCCTCCGGAAAGTTTATCAAGTTCACGGTCTTTAACATTTTTCAAATCAAGAAC